CTTTTATATGTCGTGGCAGTTGAAAACGATTTATAAAAATAAAAATATTTTTATTGTGCGATGCGTTATTGTTTTAGTATATTTTGCTCTAAGAAACACAAATTAATATTTATTACGGTTTATTGATAAGTGGGTATTTTAGATTTGTAGTATTTTCAAAATGGCGTATTCTGGATATATTTTTCTGCGCCATTAAAGGCAGAAAAAGATTTAATGTGTATAAATGAACATAAATTACTTGCATTAATGCAATGTTTGAATTATGTAATATTGTTGTATTGCTGTAATTCCTTCCTAAATAATATTTTTAAAAAATGTTGTATTTGTTATGCTGTATATATTCTGGCACACTCTGATGTCACAATATTGGTTGCAGCTGGTAATACAGAGACAGTTATTCTTTATGCCATAAGCAAGGGTTGCACCGCTGTTACTTATTTAGCACTATCTTGAAGATATGCTACGGACGCGGGTAACCCTACCAACACAACATTCTACGACTTTATTAGACAAGAACCTATGGTTTAAAGATGATTCCAAACCACTACAAACATTTAGTGCATCGCCGGGACTCGGACCCGAAATCTGCGGTACCGAATGGCAGAGTGCTAGCCACTTAGCCATTTAGGCTCTTCCTGAATAATATTAAAAATAAAAAATGTTTTTTTTTTGTCAGAGTATATATTCTGACATACTCTGATGTCAGAATATTGGTTGTTCTAATGCAGATGGCAATACAGAGACAGCTAATCTTTATGCCATAAGCAAGGGTTGCACCGCTGTTACCCCATTAGCACTACTCAGGGGACACGTTTAGCTTGACGACATTCTACGGACACGAGTTATACTACCCCTCAACGCTCTATAATCATATTAGGACCGGGACGTTCGGTTTTAAAGCGGATTCCGAGCAAGTACAAACATCCATGGTACGGCCGGAATCCGAACACGATACCTGTGGTAACGAGTGCCAGATTAATAAAAAATAAAAGAGACTGTTTCTGTTAATGAAAGACCGAGTTGCAGAGCGCTAGCCACTTGGCCATCCAGGCTCTTCGTTAATAATTTTAAAAATATAAAATGCTGTTTTTGTTAGAGTATATATTCTAAGATACTTTCATGTCAGAATATTGGTTGTTCTAATGCAGATGGTAATACAGCTAATCTTTATGCCATAACCAAGGGTTGAACCACTGTTACTAATTTAGCACTACCCAGCGGGTACGTGTATTTAAAGATATGCTACGAACGCGAGTAGCGCTACTTCCACAACATTCTAAGATCTTATTAGACAGGGACTTATTATCTTATTAGTTTGGAATATTCTTTAAACCTACGGTTTAATAAGATCATACATAAAATGCTTTATAATTATAACAATATGTCAGTATATATACTTTTGATGAAAGAAATATTTTCATATGTATATTCAATAACTAAGACAATGTCCTTTCAAGAACTAACGCTTATACCAGAGTTTTGTGTATATAATATTTTAGAATTGAAATTTTTTATTGGACTGTATGCTTACAATTTCCCAAAGTGCGTCTATTAAATGAAAAAAGAAAAACAAAAGAAAAGTCAAACATTATGCCAAACTATTACGAAAAACAAAATTTTTTTGTCTTAACAAATTATATTCAATATTTCACAACAATATGACTTTTTTTAAAAAAAAAAAGTTCTTTCCGACTTCAAATTCAAAATAAAAGAAATGAATAAAAACAATAAGATGCGGAAAAGCACAGCTTGGGAGTTTAGCTTTCGTCTTGTCCCAAAAAACAGTATCAAAAGTAAATACAAATCTCGAATCCCAAGTGGCAAAAAGCTTCGAAAATTCCGCTTTCATGCTTCAAATGCCTTCATTGGTATTCTTGGTACTGGTATAGGGTTATTACGTATTCCGTAGGATTTCTTTTATATTTTTTCACTTCAATGTGATTGGTGGGAAACTTGTTGTTCGTTCTTTTATATGTCGTGGCAGTTGAAAACGATTTATAAAAATAAAAATATTATTATGCGACGCGTTATTGTTTTAGTATATTTTGATTCTAAGAAAAGCAAATTAATATTTATTACAGCTTATTTATAAGTGGGTATTTTAGGTTTGTAGTATTTTGAAATGGCATATTCTAGATGTATTTTTCTGTGCCATTAAATGCAGAAAAAGAAAAAAGATTCGAAATTTAATGTGTATAAATGAATATAAGTTGCATTAATGTAATGTTCAATTATATAATATTTTTATATTGCTGTAATTCAGTACTAAATTATATTCTGCTTAAATGTGCATTAATGAATATACTGCAGTGTCCAAAAAGTAAGACCAATTTTCAATTTAAAATTCACAGGGCTTATGGAATTTCAATTTTTTTTTCTTTTGTAAGTTGCTTTCAATCTCCTTAACATCTGTGTGAAATTTGACGACAAAATATTCCTTAGTGTTTGAGTTACGCTTGACTTTGTGAGACGCCAAAACTGATTCCGACTATTTTTGTATTGTCTGAATTAATTGAGAAAAGAACTTGCATTCAATTTAGTTTGCGGAAACATATAGAATGTTGCAAAAGACATTCGGCGTGCATTCTTATATCGGAAAGAAATGCTTAAAAGTGGTATAAACAATTCAAAGAAGGAAGAGAACGCATTGAAGACGAAGATCCTCTGGTCGACCATCAACCTCAACCGTCGAAGCTCACGTTCAAAAAAAGATTTGGTGCTTGCAAACAGTCGATTTACAATTAGAGACCTTGCTGATGTTGTTCTAATTTCAAAAGGATCGACCAATTCTATTTTGGGCGTCAAACGCATCAAATCTCGATTGCTACCGAAAACTTACACTGCAATGCCTCTTCGTGACTTTTTGAAATGAACCCATATCGCTCCACAATCATCATATTCATACCGTGCGACTTCTGGCTATTCCCTAAATTCAAAAGACCACTCCGGGGACAAAGTTTTGGGTCGATTGAAATTATTCAACGTGAATCGCCACGCGCTTTGAAGGCCATTCCTGACGACGACCTTTTAGCATCCATTGAGGATTGAAAAAACGTTGACATAAGTGCATTGTGTCCGGAGGGGATTACTTTGAATGCGATGAAATAAATTTAGAAGAATAAATAAAGACTTTTTGAAAAAAAAATATTTGAACGTACTTTTTGAGCACAGTAGTATATGCTAACGTACTCTAATGTCAGCATGTTGGTTGTTCTAATGCAGATGGAATACAGAGACAACTAATATTTATGCCATAAACAAAGGTTGCACCGCTGCTATTCATTAAGCACTACCCAGGGAATACATATAATGAATATATCCGGACGCGAGTAACACTACCCCCACAACTTTCTAAGATCTTATTACACCGGTACCTACGGATTAAAGTGGATTTTGAACCACTACTAACATCCATGTCACCGTCAATCCGAAACCTGTGGTACCGAGCGCCAGCCACTCGGCCATCAGGCCCGATGTCTGAATATATACTCTGGCATTAAAAGTACAATATAGACAATTGTACAGAATCAGAAATATTTTTTGTCTTATGGAGAGACTATTGATCATTTTTTTCTTACTTAATTAATTTCAGAATAAATTCAGAGACTAATTTTTTAAAAAAATTCTACCTTTGTGATATGGAATAAATAACAAATTTATAATTCATTTTCCTTACTCTAAGAAAATACAATAAAATGTTTATGTAATAGAATTTTAACTAATATTACACACATTGTTAAATTAATTAAAAGTGCACACATTGTTAAGCAGAAGTACATTTAAAAAATGGTTTTTATAATAATTATTTTACAAAGTTTATTTTAGCCTTCAAGGTTTATCAGTTTGAAATAAATAATAATTTTTAAAGTATTATTCATATTAAATTAAGATAAATAAGAATATTCAATTTAATTTTTAATTAAATTTTTTAAAAGTAAAAAGAAAAAAAAATAAGCTATATTTATGTCAAATTTATTTTATTAACTTAAAAAATTTTATAATCTGAATAAATTTATAAATAATAATAAGAAACACATCTTAGGTATTTCAAATATATAACCAAAGAAAATTATGTAAAACAACTATGCTGTTTGCTTTGTATGCGTAACTTTAACACTATTATTAGAAATTTTATATTTAAAATAGCAAATTAGTTATTCATAGACAAAATTAATATAATATAATAGACTTTTCAAAGTTAATTGAAATCTTCAAATTTTATTAACTCGGAATTAAAGTTTCAATTTATTGAAATAGTTTGTGCGTTTCGATTTATATAAATAACAAAAAAAACCTGGATTGTCTAGAAATAGAGCTTTTAATTTTCCAAATTGTTAGACACTAAAGTAGAAAAAAAAAAAAATTGTTAGTCGTTTGGAAAGTTTCTTAGAAGTCGATAAGTTTCTTCGGTGTAATGGCTGGAATATTAGAGCAATTGATTCCATGGCCTAGTTAGTAATGGTAAATATATTACGTATTTATCCTTCTAATGGCAAATTAAACAAGATAAATGAAAATAGTACTTGAAGACAACAACACATAAGTACCAAAAATAAAGATATATATTTCTTTACTTTATACCATCAACTAATGTATGTCGTGTTAAGTAACATTTTTATCACTAGCAATTGCACATATTATTATTTTCCTGAATATCATTGAGTTTATATCATCAACTTTTCTTCATTGGCACAACAGTGCCATGATGCGCCAAGGCCGTTTGCCTACTGGCCGATTTCGAGAGAGGAGATATTTTCTTTTTACGCAGTAATTACTGCGGTAACTACTACTTTTTAAGCGGTAACTTAACGCGAGCCTATGCCTGTCTTACGCCCAACGCTCTACAGTCATATTAGACCGGGACCTATGATTTAAATGGGTATTCTGAACCACTACAAACATCCGTGACATCGCCGGGACTTGAACTCGGAGCTTGTGGAACTGAGTGCTAAATTTACACTGCAAATGTATTTATATTATGAACGAATCATCTGGGTGCCAACGGCCATACCATTCGAAATATACTGGTTCTCGTTAGATCACCGAAGTCAAGCATCATTGAGCGGGTCAGCACTTGGGTGGGTGACCACCTGGGAACACTGCGTGCCGTTGGCATTCACAAATTTGGGACCTGAATGACCGAGTGTCTGGCGCTCGGTTGCCACAGGTTTCGGGTTCGAATTCCCGGCGGTGCCATGGATGTTTGTAGTGGTTCGAAATACACTTTAAGCCGTAGGTCCCGGTCTCCTATGACTGTAAGAGTGTCATGGAGCCAAAGTCAGACTTCTACCTACGGGTGCTCCATCACAACAGAAGCTGCTTCATTCCCCTTCAATCATGAGTACGTATGGGCTCGTGGGCTTGGCCAGCCAAGTGGGATAAGAAACAACAACAACAACGAATCATCTATCATAGGTATGAATTAAAAATTATAAATTTGGTTCGCATTTATCAAACTCATTCCGTTTTTATATAAATCATCAACTTATCAATGCATTGAGTCCATCGACTTCTTCATAATAACTGTTTTAAATATACACAATTTAGAAGACACAAAGGTATAAAAAAATAACAATAGGTTCGATGATACATAATCAAAGCTGCCAAATACAAATTGTCCCGAAATCCATAACCCAAAAAGTCTTCTTTAGGCCACATGAAGCTGTATCAATCATCATTATGTGGAAGGTATACACAATTTTATCCCCCTGAAAAGATGGATTGCAGTTGGGGGTAACCAGATATCTTGAAATAGACCAGCAATCCCTCCAGAAGATAAGAGACCGATAAAAAAGGGATATGATTGGTGCCCATGAACTAAAAGCACTTCTTGCTGACATGAAAGCATGATGGACCATGTTACTAAACCATCTCTAAAAGCATACCACATCAGATGGAAATAAATGCTTATGCTACATAATATTAGGCTTTTTTTATGTTTGGTTGTATTAGAAGTAAACGTTTTATGATTACGTGAAGCATTATAAAGATGAATCTGTACATATATAATATTTATATATAAATGAAATAAGTGTCAATGAATTTAAAATATATAAGAACAATGAAAAAGTACGTACTGTTATTTTTATATTTTTTGATTTCATCAATATAAAATGAAAAAAATGTTTAATAAATGGTCTTAAATTTTTTTTTTTTGACTTCAAAGAACATTTTTAGAAACGTAAATTATAAATCTTTACAATATTAGAGAGAAAGAGATAATGAAACGTTTTATTGAATCAGTTTTATTATTTGGTTATTATAAGTTAATGAGTTTGGTTATTATAAGTTTTATTATAAGTTAATGAGTTTGGTTATTATAAGTTAATGAGTTTGGTTATTATAAGTTAATGAGTTTGGTTATTATAAGTTTTATTATAAGTTAATGAATGTAAACAGCAAAGTTTTTTAAGTTTAATTTTAATAATATATTTATGTTTCAAATTGCGAAATGTAAAGTACTTTTGCATTGAATTTAAAATACCTTACTTTAATTTTCTTTTTGAGTAACAATGTGTAATGTAACTGAAAACTTTCTATAAAAAAAACAACTTGCTGGAAATAAATGTTTCAATTATTATTATTTACAACTATTTAAATTTCATGAATATTAACTCCGTGTCAAGAATAATTTTAATATATACTTTAATTAATTTTAATTTATTTATAATATTTAATTTCATAATTGGAATTATCTATGTGAATCACTTATTGTAAGATTTTAAGACAAATCTCATTTCATTAATTACAGTTGAAATGTTCAATTTGATTATGTATGTCATTTAATGTATTTCTTAAAGGATGGTTATGTAAATACGCTAATTTTATTTTGTATAATTTACTTACATTGTAAATTTTACATTTTACAATGTAGTCAAAATTATCGATTGTTGTAAAATAATCAATTGGTGATTCTCGCTGTCCGGTGTTTGGAGTTGCCTGATTTAAAGTATGACGGACTTCAATTTCAAAATCGAAATATTGTACTCCAACAAACAAATAAAATTCAAACTTATTTTAAAATAAAAAAGGCACATAAAATTTTATCAAGACAAAAATTTTCTTAATATAGCAAAATGATTTATATTATTAAATTAGAATTTTTTTAAATATGTTACATTCATTATTCATAAGCCTTATTTCAGCTTAATAGTCAATATATTAATTGGTATTGACAATGAATGTAGTCATATAATCTAATAAGATCATTTAGTTTTATCAATCACACACAGATATTTATATTTTTTCAAAAAATTACCAAAAATAGCATTCGTAACTCACTAAAAAAAGCAAAGTTATTTTCAAAGTTATTTTCACCTAATTTAAATTATTTTTTAAATTAAAATTTTTTTTTTGAAAAAAAATATGACGCGTTTGAGGGAAAAAATATGGATTTTAAAAGAAATAAGCATTTTATTAAAATATAGAAATTATGCTAGTTGCATATTTATATACGAATTATTATTAATAATCTCAATTCTTTTAAATACACAGCTGTGTATCTAAAATGATGAATTTATATTTAAAAAGTAAATTATTTGTAGAGAATGTATATCATAAAAAACATATTATTTCTATAGTTTTATTTAAAAAAAATATTATTAACTAATCTTAATATAAAATATAAAACTTTGGTTTAAAGAATTAGTTATTCTAATTAAACTTTTATCTATTTTGTTAAAATATTATTAAACAAAAATGTATTTATAGAGAAGTTCAAAATTTAATCAAAGTTGAAATATAAAACAATTTGATTTTTAAATAAATCATCAAAAATTAGTTTTCTTATTATAAAAATGTGTTAAAATTTGTATTTTTTATTTTTTAAATTCCTTTAAAAATACATTATAAATTGACTAGCACAAAATATATTCAAAATATTTGTTTTTCTTTGTCTATCTTGAAAGATTTATTATTCCTGTTTTGATTTGAATTAAAAACACAAACCTCAATACACTGAATTTAAACTTCGGAATTCAATGTAAATCGTTTTTTCTTTCCTGAAAGAAATGATCTCTACCCTTCAAAGTGTCAACAATATTTGACTTCAGAAACATATCACCGGACATTGAATTATAGTATATCAAAACCGACTTATCAAAAATAAGTTTCGGGTACAGTTCAAGAATTCATTTCTGTGACAAGTTTGCTTTTGAAATGTGAATAGCATTTTGAAAAAAAAAATATGCATTTGAAAAATCTCTTCTTGGGAAAAAGTACCGACATATCTCGGTATATCTGTCATTGAAAGCAATAACAGAGTAAAATGACAGTATAATTTATATTTTATGGCATCTAAGTATTTCAAAAATGTATTTTATTAATTTTCATTTTCATTTGAAATCCTTTGGAATTTGGCATTTTTATTGAGAGACATGGTGAATTGTAAACATATTTTTTTTTACAATTAAACAATAATTTAATATAAAATTTAAAATAAAAGTTTTATATAAAGTTTTAAATTTTTATAGTGCTTATAAATTTTAATACCTTTAATCAAAATGCTTTTGTAATTATCAATGAAATATTTATCACACATTTGTGCTTAATATTTGATTCCTTACGACTCATATTTCTTTTTTTATATTTTCTGTCAAAGTTTATGAAATAACTCTAAATATGACAACTGTTATATCATATTTTGAGAATTTAACTATTATTCTAAACTTTTATTCCACTGTATTATAAATCACAACAAAAATTAAATAACACACTTTCACATAATTTAAATATGTGCAGTAATTACAAAAATTCTTTTGCAATTTTAAATGTTAAGTCCATTAGAAAAATTAAAATGTTATTTTTAAATATGCTAAAAAATCAAACTGACAACGACATTATCTCATTAATAAAAATAACTTTGGGTTTAAAAATAAGTTGAATATAATTTTATGCAATATTTTTTTTTGTTCTAATGTAGCTGGCAAACACTTAGACAGCTAGGTCTTGGATGCCTTAAGGCAAGCGCTGCACAGACGTTACTCACTTTGAATTACTCAGGGAGCGCGTGTAACTTGAAGATACGGACGCGGAGTAATAATGCCCCCGCAACGCTCTACGATCCTATTAGGACCGGGACCTACGGTGTAAAGTGGATTCCGAACCACTATAAACATCCATGGCACCGCCTGGACTCGAACCCGAAACCTGTGGTACCGAGCGCTAGCCACTCAGCCATTCAGGCCCCATTTTATGCAATATAATAGCTAACAAAATTACTAAAATAAAATGTGCTAAACTATCAGAGATAACAATTGAATCAGATGCAGACAAATAAATCTTTTTCAGTTTCAAAACCTAATGAAAAAAAGCTGAATATCTCATAAATATTCCACATGTATTTGTAAAATTTTGCTCACAATTTTTTAACAGTTATATTGTTTAGTACATGCAATTAATAATTTGATATTATGGATATTTGTATCATTTTCAGATCATTAATAAATGATTACCTAAACTAAAATAAAGCTTAAACAGCTTATATATTAACTATGTATAATTATTTCTTTTTTGTTAAAATAACTTTGAGCTTCAATGTACAAAAATATGTTATTATTTAAAGACCATTTAAAAACTGCAAATAAATGAATATACAGCGTTTTCCATAAATTATGAAAAAGTAAAAATAGCATCAACTCGATTCAAAATTGTATAGGTAGTTAAAGAAAATTGTATATGCATTCTTTCATAAATAAAAATTTTTTTAATTTTTGAGTATGGCTAGGCTTCAATATTAGAATGAGACATGAAATATGCAATTCCTTCTAATGATTTTGAGGTATTATTTTGTAAGACAAAGGCTATGGAAGAGCTTTGAAAGATTTAAGCAGGGCAAAATAAGGCATAATGGCAAAACCAATAAATGGAAATCTTTCTGTGGTTCATAATTTTTGCCAACAATTTGAAAAGACAAATTCGACACCCTGAAGATTTAACCAAGAATTACGTCCAACAATGAAGACTGGCATCTGAAGTTATGCATACATAAAATAATCGATTGAGTCGTATCGCAGTACCATAACAATGGTTTATGCACATTGCGACTAGTTAATTGTGTTCTGTTCACCTCCTTCTACAAGATGATGTATTTGAGTTGTCGTACCAACACCTC